AATATAATAATATATTATATTAATATATATATAATAATATAATATATAATATATATATATATATATATATATATTATATTTAAATTATTTTTGTAATATTTACATTAGAAAATTTATTTAATAAAAATTTTATCAATTAACTATTTTGATAAAAAGGATAGAAGAAGAAGATGAAGAAAGGAAGAAGATAAACAAAAAGATTTTAATATGTTTTTTTTTATCGCTATATATGAAAAGAAATATTTAAATATTATATCAATTTTGCATAATATGTAAAAAATTAAATAAACAAATATAACTATCATTCTTTTTAATGTGCATAATTATCTTATCGTTATATAAATTTCACGAGAACTAATTCGTTATAAAAAACGTAAAGTTTCACATATATGTGATATAAGATAGCGAATTTAATTGAAGTATATAAGTTCAACTTAAATATAATAATTGTGCATCAATACAACAGCAATTATAAAAAATATGAAATCATATATATTTTTCGCAATTCATTTTTGGAACTTTCTTGTCATGTTATTATTTTTTATCTATTTAAAGAATTAAATTTGCGACTCTCTTGTCTTTCATGTCTGATTAATGATTTTCATCGATTAATTCAAATAATCTTATCAGATGAAATAGGCCGGATTCATAGTAGTATATAAAACGCACTGGTGAAGTATTTTACATTAGATTATATTACTATCTAAAAAAATCCACGTCTAAAGGTAAGCATTCTAAACTTCAGATTATCATAATAATAATATGTGTAATCAATTTATTATTATAATAATTAATTATCATAATTCATATCTCTAATTATTAATTAATAATTCATATTATTGTGATGTTAATTGAAATTTTTTATTTCTATATTACTCTATGTACATTATGCTTCAGAACATTTCTGTTAATCAACAAACATAAATTGATACAAATGATAGAAATGATAATGTGTAAATATTAACAAAATTAGATTCTATTAATGGCAAAGCATACAAATACAATCAACACCAAAGTTTACGAAAAAATTTATTTAATCCGAAAATTCTAATTTTAATGAAAATTTATGTATCATATACAATAATTTTTTTTCAATAGAAAATCTCTCTGAAGGCGAAAAATCAGCCTGTAAATTTCCATTATTTTATTATCTTTTGAATACAATTTTTTCTAGAAATATTTTTTACATAACACGACAATAGAGCATTAAAATCTGAACATTTTCGTTCGACTATAACAAAATTATATTTAAAAAAAATTGAATAAACAATACAAATTCAATTGAAACGATATTTCACTAATAAAAAAATTGTCTTACGAATAATTCATTATTATTTAGATACAAAATTTCTATAAAGCAGAATTATCTATTATTGGTTTTTGTCACAATTATTACAGTTGAACTCACGCAAGATTTATGAAAATTTGTGCAATTGCTATAACGATCATAATCATCGAATAATGTTAATTATTTTCGTAATTTTCCAATTATATTACAGATGAAATTCATTTTCGGAATTGTGACTTTAATCGCCGCTGTCGGTCATCTCAACGCCCACGTAGTACCAAATCTTGGCTCAGGTGCACTGGCCCAAGAATTCCAATATTTCCTAAACATCATACCCATCGACGATGTGATAGAACTTACAAAAGCTTATTTAGTCAGAGACAAAGAATTCCAATGGATCATGTCCTTTATACAATATGATGATATAAAGAATTACATCGAAGATTTGGAAAATATGATGGAATTCAAAGATCTTATGAATTATTTGCAAAACAATGGTCTCGACGCTTATGTTATTTTGAATGAATTGAAAGATTCCTTAAAAGAAGAACAAGTGGTAGTTTCGTCTGATTCTCAGATCAAGATCACTGGAGGTATTGAAGGTTTCATTAAAGATCTCTCGACCATCTTGCCAGTATTCGATTGGATGAACATGTATGAATACAAGATTGAGACTTCCGATGTATTCAGAAATTTCGTAGAGGAACTCTTTGATTCTCAATATGAGGTTTTATTCACAAGCACCTTCACAAATGTCCATTTCCAGAGAATGTTAAAACAACTTAAATATCTTAACGTCGATAGCGAAACATTCCACATAAACTTTGTCACTTTACTCAGTATTAAAGAATTGATTCATTATTATTTTTAAATAATAGGGATAAGAATATATATAAATCTTATTTATAATTTTTATAATGTGTTAAAGCTTTATTGACAATATATAGTATTATTAATACTATATATATTTAATATATATAATTATTATCTATTAAATAATAAAAAATAAAATTCAATAAATTTAATACAATATAAATTTAATATAATAAATAGTGTATTTTGATATTGATAAATGAATAAATGAATTAATTAATGAATTTTTTTTTTTAATTTTATCCTGTTATAGATAGGAAATAAAAAATAATACTTTATTAAATAATATATATAATTATATAATTATACTTTATTAAAATAATATTAAAAAATAATACTCTTAATTTTTATGAATTGAAATTTTATTGTCATGATTTTTGAATAACAAGTTTTTTAATTTTAAATTAACTTTGAGATATATAAGTTTGAGATCATATTTTGAAAATTTCTAAAAATTATTTAATTGCATGCTATTAGTCGTATGTTTTTTCCTAACATAAGTTATATCATAATCAGAAATTGAAATGATATCATTAGATATCTGTCATATCGATATCTAATCAAATTAATATTATAGATGAAAACAATGTAATCATAAACTTATCAGATAATAGAATTGAAATATCGAAATTGCAAAAAAAAAAAGAAGATAACAGAATATATAATTATATAATAATAAATAATATATTTTTAATTTTGAAAATACTTTTTTCAAAATTTTACTTCCTAAATATTTGTAATTTTTAAATCTTAATAATGTGATCATTAAGCTATAAGATACGAATGATATTTCTTATCATTTTTCAGTTAAAATAAAATAATGATCGAAGAAAAATTGAATATACATATAAAAAGGAATTATATGAATTACATTCTTAATAATTTTTTTTAAATAATTTAAAATGCACATTTATATAAATTACATTTATATAAATTACATACATAAAATACGTTTATGACGTTTATGTTTTTTATATTTAAGACATTTATGTATGATGTATAAGATATTAATTGAAATAAAAAATATTATTTAGAATTTCAAATGAAATTAATTGATCATATAAAAAATATCAAAAAAAAATAGTGAACGTTTATCATTTATTACAAAATATGAATAAATCTATTAATTATTCTTATTCTTATCTACAATTAATCTTATTGGCTAATTATTGGTATCTTATTGGTAGCAGTGAATTATTTCAATAGTCATAATCTATTAGTTAATATAATAATTTTAAGTGAAATAATTGAAATAATATTTAATTTGAAAAACTGTATACCACAAATTATATTAATTATGTTAAATTTAATTTTAAAGCTCAATTAAAATCTTTTATTAAATTAAAATAAAATATCTTTCATTTTAAACGAAAATATTAAGTAAAAAGAAGAAATAATTTCTTTGAATGAAGTAATAAATAAAATTTGAAAATAAACATATTTTTAAATAATTTTCAATTATTTTAAAAATAAATCAGCGATATGAAAATTGAAGTGATCGAACTGTAAAATTTACTATAAATTTGATTTCTATAAAGTTAAATATTAATCACATATTTGCTACGACTATTATAGTATAATTAAGAATTATTTTTTAAAAAGTAAAATTATAGTTGATTTTACTAGCTATTTAAATATTTCAAATAATTTATTTAAAAATTTTATAGGTGGATAAAGTATAAATTGAATTATTTATGCAATCTCTCTCTCTCTCTCTCTCTCTCTCTATACTCTATATTTTATATATATATAAGTGAAATTCTAAAATAAATATTATACTTTTCTCTTTTTTTTCAATTTTTTTTGTTGTTTTTCTTATTTCATGATCAAAACTTTAAAGAGCAACGAAGTATGCATAAAAATTTGTACTAGTAAATTTTCAAATAAATATATACAAAGAAATAATATTTATTAAATTTTCTAATAAATATTTAAAGTTCGCATGCAAAATATATATTGTAACACTAAAAATTTCAAATAAATATTGATATTAAATTTTTAATTAATTTTATTTCATATTGTTTTTATAATTTTATTCTGAATTCGTTATTTTGAAGTATATCGAGACATATTCGAATCAAATTGATAAATTATCATATCAAATTGATAAATTAAATTAAATTGATAGTTTTTTAAGATGTATTTCGAAAATAACGTCAATATTTTATTTTTGTCATAAAAAAAATATCATGCACAATACGTGCATGATAGAAAAATAAAGAAATAAATATTATTATTAAAAGAAGCAGCAATGATTGCGATTTCCACAATTGTATTTAATAAATTACGATTATTCTTCAAAGAATTCGTCATTTGCCGACATTATATTCTTTTATGTAATCTAACGTTACGTTACGTGATTAACAAGCACTTTTTTAATCGAATATATAAAAATACTCAGATTATATATTATATCATTTACGTGAATTTTTAAATATTTGATAATTTTTTATAATAAGTTGGTATATAAAATAAATTGAAATTACATTGAATATGTCGAAATGCGGTTTCTATTTAAAAATTGTAAGATATTTATTATCTTGAAATATAAATTCTCAGATAAAAAACGATATATCTTTCACTTCATTCAGATAACCTTTAATTAATACTAATAATAATTATAATTAAAACAATAAACAATTTTTTATCAATTTTTTTAATATTATAAATGAAGAAATTGTATATCAACAATTTTTATTAATTTGAAATAAGAAAACTAATTAGATATAAAAAAAAGAAATAAAATTATTATAATTACAATATTTTGATTAAATACATTTGATACATCAAAAAACTATCTGAAATTAAAGATTTAAGAAAACAACAATTTTATATATATTATTTCAATATGATGTTTGTCAATGAAAAAAAAGTTGAAATAAATTATGAAATTCTCTATATGGTCTATTATTGTTTCTTCGATATTATATCATTATCTTTATAATTAAAATAATTAATTTTCAAAATAATATAAATATTTTATTATGTAAACATATAAGAATAAATCTCGAATTTTTTTAATCAAAAAATTTATATTATTTTGTTCATCATTTCTATAATTTTCTATTCCGTAATCCTATTAAAATTTCGAAAAACATCGTGATATTGACATCTTTAATTATTTAATTTATCAATTAAATTCAATTGGACTAGAAACATTAATATATTATCATATAAATTTACATCATAGTACGTGCATGGTATGAGATGATAACTGAATATTGTTAAACATGATTGCTTCAATACAGTTGCACTCGATAGATTAGGATTACTTGATTCTTCACATTATCATTTATTATTTAATCTGTCAATATTACGTGATCAATATGTCTTTTTAATTTTTTTTAAAAAATGATTGTATTTGTATCGTATATTTTTGCAAAACTTTGATATTATTTATATGTAAAAATATAAAAACAATTTCCGTGTGATTCTACCTAAACTAATTTTATTATTCCATATTCTATAGAATGAAAATATTCTGTTATTTTCATAATATTTTTACCTCAAATAATCAAAAAATTATCTAGATTTTTAATATAATAGAAAATTTAAAATATAAAGTTAATTATAAATATTCGTTTATTATAAATATTCGTTAATTTATAATTCAATTAATAAACATTATTTCTCTCTCTTTCTCTCTTCATTCTAAATTGCCTATTATGCTTCTCATTTCAATCCACAATAAACATGAATACAGTTTTGAAAAAAACTATTACGAAACTCAGTTAACTTCGCAGTCTTACACCGCTCATAACTATGACACGTGCGTATTAACCCACTATGTCAGTTCCAGTTAAATTTTTGTCATAAAGCAAATTAAAATTTCTCGTAACCATATCCAGAAATCTTCTATTCCACTGAATCCTGTGTCAAAGAGATAATATCCGAACGTTATAATTTCATTCTTGTGTTCATCAAAGAATGCCTAAAATCTAATAAAAGGAATATTTATTAATTGTATGATGGCCCGAATCTACTCAGTCATTCTAAACAAGATCCCTCTTTCGTTGATACCTTAATCAGGCAAGTTTCCCATCCGTAAGTTCCGCTTCAGTGTTTGAAGCTTTAACGTAGCCAAGCAACATTGTTCAAAAATTCAAACTCATTATTCGTTTTTCTCCACGTTATATCCAGACTTTCATCAACGAACCTTATCAATCGTTACATTCTTTAATATCGTGCCTCAAAACAAGCTGCATCCGAAGAAACAAATTCTTTCAAATACATACAATGATTTCCTTCTAATTGGAAACTGAAGGATTAATCTTCCAAAAAGAGATGAATCCACAAATCATGCTTGTCAGTGTGGTGGCAGCTGCTTCGATCGTTTTTTTCGGATTTCTCGCTTATCGGATGAGACTACAATCCAACTATCCCGATCTAGCTAACGTGCCACCATTGGAGGACAACAGTTCTCTCGACGAGGATCTCAAGGACATTTTGGCGTTCATCCCCATGGCCGAAGTGCAACGAATCATTGAAAGATACATGAAATACGACGCTCAGATCGGCGACACAGTGAGCTTTGTGAACGATCAGAAGAGATTTATCTTACGCGAGTTCCAAAATATGCCTGAGGCCCATAAATTGATTTCTTTCCTGCGTCAAAACGGATTGAACGTAGATTCTTGGCAAGACAAGATACGATATTTTTGGAAGATGTCGCCTAGATTCATTAAATACGAACCTACTCTGGCGAACGGAGGCCTGACTGTAATGATCAATAAAATCTTGGAGACCATACCTATGGACGAGCTGCACGAGCTATTGCGACAGAAAGTGAAATACTCGGCGAGTTTTCGCAGATTTCTGCTCGCATTGAGGTCAAAAGACTTCCGGGAATTTTGCACCGCGCTCGAATCCAACGATGTGCTGCATCATCATTACTTTTGGGCGAAAGAGGGCGGTCTAGAGATCACGTTCGCGATCGAACTGTTCAACGAGCTGTACGTCTATCTTACACAAACTTTGATCACTTAAGAATTGTTATGAATTCGATTATTGAATAAAATGTGATAAACTATTAATACATCATTTAAGTCAAACGAAAAAGTCAAAGTGATCAATCTCATTGGGATTAATCGTTTGAAAAATAAATCGTGTAAAAGAGAAACAAATTCTTGTTCGTGAATATTAATAATGAGGAATTAGTCAGAAAAAAATTTTATGGGGAATGAAGTTGATCATTTGATCTTTGATTTGTCGTTTATTTTATTTTTATAGAAGGGAGGAATATATATTTTATTTCTATCTTTTGTCTATATTTGTAAAAATTTAATTCTTTGATGATTTATATAAAAAAAAAATAATAATATGAATCTTAATTTTTATATAAAGATTGAAAAATTTTTAGAAAATGAAATTAATAAATTTGAATTTTAATTAGATCATTTATTTTCAGATGTATATTTTTATAAGAGAAAAATATATTTTTTAGTCTTTCTCCTGCCTAACATTGTATTCAAAATTTAAAAAGAAAAAAAAATTAATCCCAATTTTGATATAAAAATTGAAAAATTTTCTAATAATAAGGTTGATAAATTTGTATTCTAATTCAATTATTTATTAAAGAATTCATTTTTTGAAAAATGAAAGAGATATTAGATAGATATTTTAATAAACATTTTAAAAAGTACAATTGAAAAAGAGAAAACAGTAGACATATTCTCATATTATATACAATACGGATAATCTTCAAAAGGAATCATTTCATATAAAAATATCATCATTGCATCATCATAAACATTCGATTTATTACTTTATTTCACCATAAACATACATTGTAAGTGAATCAACATTCCACTTCGACAATTATATAATCAATGCTTATATGTAGCAAAATATTAGATAGAAAATGTTAAGATTATTACATGTTATAAAAATGATATTTTAATTAAAATACTTGTATAAATTGTTACAAAATTTTTCACGATTGTTTTTCTGAGATTATTATATTATACAAGTGCAAATTCATATTATCGGGAAGTTTTTAAAAATTCTAAATTTTATTTTTGAAATTATTCAATATATCATATTATATAAATCAAATATTAACAATTATTGAGAAAATATAAAAAATAACAAATTTTTGTTTAATAATTTTTTTATTTCGAATCTGAACATAAAAATTATGGAAAATTTTTAATAACTTTTAAGTGAAAAACTTTTTTCTAAAATAAATGATTTTCAAAAGATATTACTTCCAAAATTCCATAAATAAACGGAGAATAAATAATTTTTAAATCAATTTTCTTTAAAAATCAAATTAAGAAAATAACAAACAATCAAAATCCTATTTTAAATGCAAAATAAATATATTTGATTCTTTAATAAAAAAAAAAATCTCAATCGTTCTATTTATAGCTTTAAATTATAGAAGCTACAATTAATATAGGTAAATAAGTACGGAAAGAAACTTTGTTCAGGCCACCGTTTATAGCATTTTGTTCGAGACTTCGATAATATGAGTTATCGAATATGTAATGATAGAAGCCATGATATTTATCTGACGTAACTTCATCCACAACGCTTTTCCATACTTTCGAAGTTTTAAGTTTATCATTGTACAATTTCTTCAAGGACGGTACTGGAACGATAGATGTGGCATCTTTTATAAATCCATCGATTCCACCGGTGATTTTAAGACTGGATATATTAGAAAAGAATTTTCTAAAAATAAATGGTATACGTGGAATGCCCACTTTTTCGTTCAACTGATTCGTCAGATTGTAAGCATCTAAACCGTTTCTGAACATGAAATTCATCAGCACCGTGAATTCAGGATTGGATTCAACGAACTGCAGCCATTGTTTTAATTCGGCAGATTTCATCAGGTTCATAGCTGTCTTAAACTCTTTATCCTGAGCAGTATATGTTTTAGTCAGATTGATAAGATCTGGAAATGGTATCAAGTCAACGAAATCCTGCAAATCCTTAGCGAGGGCGCCGGAACCCACAGCTGGAACTTTGAAAGCATACGAGAGGCTGTTCGCGGCTAAAGCGATAAAAATTGCCAAAACGAACTTCATCTGCGAAGAAATTAAAGAAGCAAAATTAAAGGAGTAAATGGAATTTTTTAACAGAGTAAACAAAAAAAAATTAATCATTACTTCGTAAATGCTTTATTCTTTTACCATAAACTGTAATTAAGAATTATTTACAATAATTAATAATTTTAATAAAAATTATATAATAATATTAAATTATATAATAATTTTAATAAAAAGTTATATATTTATGAAACATAATACATATAAAACAATTTTTTTTCAGCAGAAGTGTTTTTAAAGTTTCAAGATTCTTTCATATTTTGAAAGAGCACTAAAATTTAGATATTTAAAATTTGATTCTATTTCGTATCTTTCCTACATTCTTATTATAAAGTTATACTTAAAGAAAAGACAACAATTTTTGAAAAGAATTTTACTTTAAGAATTTATTTCATTTTCTTAAAGTAATATCCCCTTAAAATATATATTCATATGTGATCTCGATACATATATATATCAATACTCGTATTTTATAACAATTATGATAATATTTTCAGAACTTAAATCTCAATTTCATTATAAGGAGAGTTTCAATATTTTTGTACTATTATATCTACATTCAATATTTTTTGATAAAGTTTTTCTTAAAGAAGTAAAAATTCTGGGAAGATTCATATAAGAAATTGAAATAAAAATTTTCAAAAACAAGTTTTACAAATAACTTATAATATAATAACTTAAAATATAAATTTTTAATTAAAATTAATTCAAATGTAGAAAAAAAATTTAGATAAATGTAGAAAATGATACATGGATGATATGTGTTTAATTTAATATAAACTATAGTTTCTACCTTGTGATTTATTTTACAATTAGTTGTGCTTCTTATGTTTCTCGACACGAACTATCATTAAGTCACTTTTCAAATTGCATTTTATATACATATTAAGAATACGATAATCTGCTTCGATAAGATTAATTAATTTTTATTAATTAAATGATTAGTGTAAATGTTATCTCATAAATTCTAAGTAGTAGTTAGTTGATTCGTTTATATTATTTTTCACTGAACAATATTGTTTCTAAGAATTGAATAATTGATTTTTAAAATATTTTAAAAATATGAATATCTAATCTTGTAATTTTGTAAAGAAGTTGTAAATCGTGAATCTGTTCGATAACTTCTATTGAATTCTATCTAATTTTTATTTTTACGATAATTAGGTGAAGAAAAATAATTACGAAAAATAAAAAATTTTAGAAAGACATTTTGGCAAAAAAATTTTTTTATTGGTATTTGTTTTAAAAGTATCATTAAATAAATGTATATTCATATTTGATGAAAAAATGAAATAGATATATTATTATAAATTTTATTCCAAAATATAAATGATCAAGAGATCTATAATCTATCTATTCAGAAAAAATGAAGAAATTTCCTTCTATGCAAAGTCTTTCCCCATTAAATTTCTATTAAGCTTAAAATAAAAAGTATAAATTGATGTTCTTAGAAAACAATTTTAAAAAAAATATTTAGAATTGAATTGAGATTCTGAGATCTGTTATGACATTTTCCAACTATGAATTATCTTATCTTAATAATAAGATCATCACTTCTCAAGAAGATTCATAATAAACACGCACAAATTTTTTCCTGAATGCAACGAGTTTTTACTCTCAGATTCTTATTACTATTTCTTCTAGCTTAATTTGAAAAATTTTCCTTAAATCATGATAAAGAAAATTGATTCTGAGTTACTATTAGTTGCTTCATTGAAAAACCACAATTCTTCCAAATTCTATCATCATGAAAAGGATTTTCATAGACACAACTCATAGATACTCTTTTGTTAATCAGAGAAAGAAAGAATAGTTAACAAAATTTTGTCGTATTTTGATTGATTTTCTATATATGCATTCACAAACGCAAATACTGAATCAACCTGTAAATATGCTCTTTCCTTATCGATTTTATCGAAATATTTGTATACTTTGAACAATATTTTTTTTGCATATAATCAACGCGATACTCAGTTTTAATTTTCAATCTACTCATCATACTCGATTATTTTTCGCAGTTATAGAAGATATCCTAATTTTTCCCAATCAAACTTTATATAGTGTATTCTAGTTCAAAAAATATATATATAATAATATAAACATATATATAATTGAAAGCATTGTTAAAAAATTTTAATAATAAAGCAAAATGAATGATAAATAATAAACATATTTACAAAGTATAATTAAATCTATAACATATATATAGAAAATATAAATAAATAGATATGTATAATATAATATAATTTTAAAAATGAAGTTGATTTAAAAATTTTCCTTGAATAAAGCAAGTGATTACCAAAATATTATAAATTTTTTAATACTTGAATTCTTAATCATTCCTTATCATTTATTAATTAGCTTTTATTTTGTGATTGTTGGCAAAGTTTGAATTCCGTGTTTATTGAATATATAACAAATAAATTTTATTATAATAATATTCTAATCAATTACAGAATTATCAAAACAATCGATACAAGCGGAAAAAATATAATCGAAAAAATTACAAAAATGTTAATTGTACTGATACTATTCAGATACTATATGTTGTCACGATGCTTTCAGTGATTCAATTTCAACTAATTCTATTCAATAAATGCTGAACTTCGTTGAAATGATAGCCTTTTGATCCGAACTAAGTACTGATGATGAGAGAATCTACCTGAAGACGATATTGATAGGCGATTTTTAAAAAATTAATCGAGGAATATGTTGACAGTCATACGCTCTTTGACATGACCAAACTACTTGATGGAAGAGAAAAGATGATTTCTAGAGACCTACGAGATCTCCAGGTTGTCGTCTGAATAAGGTCAAAAAACATTGTCACAAATTGTCTCCAAACTATCTTTCAGAAGCCTGCCAGGTTTATAACACATCTAATATTAAATGAAAAGGAGGAATCTTACAGTATCTTGTTTATCATTAAAACTTTTCTAAAAATTTTCATTCAATAATAACCACGTATTTTTGTGTTACAAAACCAACCCTCACGTATTCCATTAGTCTCATTTCTCTGAATATGCTGATACGCTGTCTCGACGAAACAAATTGCATTTATTACATACTTCTTATTTAATAAATAATTGCTGTTTAATTATAAAATATATAACAAATAATTTTTTATATCATTTATCGAAGCAATTTCTTGATTTAAGTAGCGAAAAATAAAGAAAAAAAAGGGAATTTTATAATTATATATTCATAATAAACAATAATAGACTTATAAAACAAGTTAGCATATTGAAGAAAAATAATGAAAAGATATGTTTTGTTAAATACAAAATTTTAGTTAATTATTAAAAAATTAATTAATAAAGAATAATGAAATTTTTCTAGAAAAACAGAATTTTCAACATTTTGTAAAAGAAACAAATTCTATAAGCCTTTTCTATAAAAATATTGAAAATATACGTATTTTAAAAAAGAAATAAAATATATTTATTTTTATCACAAATAACTGATAGAGCAAATTCTTTCTTAGATCTGAAAAGAATAAAGAAATGTAGGAAAATAGGACAAAAAATAAAAAAATTCATGTTTTCAATTTAATGTATACTTTATTTTTTTTTAGAAAAAAAATATTTTCTACATAAAATTACACTGAATTAATTATTTCTTATAAATCAATTAATTAAAGGCATTATTATTTGAATGTTGCCGCAACGAAAACAAAGATAGGAGAGAAAGTATGGAAGTCATTTCTAGTTACGCCTAAACGTACGGCATCGTTTTCCAAATTCTTATAATGTTTATCCTCGAAAATATTGTTGTAAAAATCGAAATATTTAGACGAAGTTACTTCTGCTATGAAAGCCTTGAATACCTCAGAATTTTTGCTTTTCTCAGTGAATAAATTAGACAATTCGTCTATCGGAACGAGAGCAGAAACATCAATCAAATACCCCATAAAGCCACCAATGATTTTATTCTCGAAAGAACCAAAAAGGGATTTGATTCCACTGACAAGAGGTGGAAGATTCAAAGATTTGTTGAATTGATTAACCAAGTAATAAATATCGAGACCGTTCTTTTGCATGTAATTTAACAGTAATTTGAATTCGGATACCGATTCGATGTCCAGCATCCATTGTTTCAATTCTTCAGTTTTCATCAATTGAATAATGTTACGGAATTGCGTGTCTTGGACATAGTATGTCTTCGTCACTTCGATTACTTTGTCGATCGGTATCAAATCTAGAAAATCTTGCAATTCCTTGGCGAGGGCGCCAGAACCAGTGGCTGGGAGTTTATAAGCGTTCAGAGGACTGATCGCAACCAGGACAACAAAAATTGCTGAAGCGAATTTCATCTGTGAAAGAATTAAAAGAGCGATGATAAAATTTTTAATAAGCAAATAAGAAAAAATAACAGAATAAACAGACAAAATTATTAATTAAAAATCTTACAATCTGAAAGATTTCAAATTAAAATTAATTCAAACATTAATATATATAATAAATAATAAAATATAATATATAATAAAATAATATATAAATATATAATAAATAATATAATAATATAATATAATATAATATATAATAAAATAAACATTTTAACAAAATTCATTTATATATGTATATTAATATTTGAATTATATTATTATTATATATTTGTATTGTGAATAATAATGGACTTAGGTTTAAATGAAATTATAAAATCTACGTATGATTTGTATAAATCAAGAATTATTTCTAGCACATAGATGGCTAATGAGTATGTAAACATTTAATGTAATAAAAAATAAATGTTAGAGTACTTACGATGAAATTTATTCTGCAATTAGTCGTTTCTGTTACGCTTATTAATGCCAACTGTACCTGTGAATCGTTTTTCATTGCATTTTATATAATAGCTGTGAATGCGATAAATATTTTTCGATAAGATTAATAACTTTTTATGGTTACATGCGTTATCTCATCATATATAATCAACAGATATTTTTGTCTATTCAGATATCTCATCTATTATATTTATTACATTGTATTGATTTCAAGTATCTCATATCATAATTATTCATTTACTAGAAATAAAAACATTTCTGACTTGCGTGTTACTCTTGCAAAATAGATTTTGTATTTATTACATGAATAAATTTTATTTTTGTTGCACGTACAAATCAAAAGAATTTTAATTATTGTTAATTAATTTTTAAAATTTACTTTGAATTTTTTAATTTTCAATAATACATTATGTAACATTTGAAAAATTTTTCAAATTCAACTATATAATAGATTGAGATTAATTATTGGAAAAGTTTACTATATCTCAGAGAGATGAAACATTTAAACGACATTAACATTACATTTTTTCTTCTTCCTAAAAAGTATTAATTCATATTATATGTTTAAAAATTATTAATTTAGAAATATTTTAATTTGAATTTTGTAAAATTCGTATGAAAAACAAAGAAATCATAAACTAAGCCTGTTCGTGTTTTTTTTTAATGATATCAATAATTTTTATTAAATTTAAATCTAAAATATTTGCTATTATTAATTTTTAAACATATATGAGATATAAATTTATTTAAAAAAATTGATTTTAATATATAACGGACATATTTATGTATGCATTCATGAAATAATTGAAAATATGCATCTTTTGATATTCAATCTTTTTCTTATATTTTTTAAAAAATATTTTTTAATAATATTACGAAAATCAAGATGTCAAAATGAAATAAAATATACGTAGGATATCTAATAAGATGACTCAATCGTAAAAACTACAAAGTATTCCGATCTTTTATTATCTTTAATATATATATTGTATATTTCCTATAAAATATATTAACTTATATTCAATTTAAAAATCATAAATTATATGTAATATAAGAATTATGTTATATATTATATTATAAATAATATATTTGAAAATAATCTCGAAAACTTACGTATCTTTTAAATTAAAAGATTTTCTTACATTTTATCAGAAAATCATGATTTTTTCAATGTATTATTGTGTTATAATATTTAGAAATTATATATATGTCATGATGGAATGTTATTCATACAAATATTATTGTACAGTTATTCAAAAATAACTGAATAATTATTTGATTATTATATGATTTTTGAATTGATAGTTTGATTTCTATTTTATGGAATAAAACTTAAAGAAACTTATAAAAATTTATAAAAACAAACCAGAAAATATAGAAAACAAGCTGTTATCATTTTAATATTTTTTGAAAACATTAATAAAAGAAAAATTATTGAAAAAAGAAATGTGTAATTGAAAAGATATCAAATAAAATATTTAAAAAAATTGAATAGATAAAAAATAGTTATTATACTTAATATATAAATTTTAATAATTAATATGCAAAATTTATTTCTTATAAAAATTCTTCAGATTTTTCTATACAAGAAAATTATGATTTTCAGGAGAAAAATATAACAGAACTAAATACATGAAATATCAAGAACAATACATAATGTCTAAATTTGATTGGTGGTGATTTCACTAAGGATATTCAAAATTTTTTAATATGAATATAAAAATGTTTTATACAAGAAAAAAAAATAATTTCTTTATTATTTCTTTTCAATAGAAAATATTAATTATATCGCGACCATTCAAATTATACATTGTCATGACGCTTCCAGTGATCCAATTTCAACTAATTATATTCAATAAATGCTGAACTTCGTTAAAATAATAGCCTTTTGATTCATGAGTGATGATGAGTGAATCTGCTTGAGACCGATGTTGATAGGCAATTTTGTTCTCGTGGTGGATATGCTCGATCTCATCTCGTTGATTGTTCATTTCGCGTGTCTTACAGCATCTCTGATTGATGATTTCTAGAAAATCAATCAAGGAATACGTTGATATATCCGTCCCTTTTGCATGACTGAACGTTCTTGATGGAAGAGATAGAATAATCTCTAGAACGAAATGCGCGATATCTCTAGGTCGTTCGAATAAACTGTCAAATTGTCTATATGTCTTTTCCGAATGTCTGATTTATAACACATCTAATATTAAATGAAAAGGAGGAATCTTGCAGTATCATTAAAAATTTGTTTTGCCAAAATTTGTTTTTTATCATTAAAAAATATTTATCATTAAAAATTTTCTAAAAACTTTCATTCAATAATAACTTCGTATTTTTGTGTTATAAGCCAACCCTCACGTGTTTCATTAGTCCCATTTCTCGAATATGCTGATACGTTGTCCCGACGAAACAAATTGCATTTATTACATACTTCTTATTTAATAAATAATTGCTGTTTAATTATAAAATTTATAACAAATAATTTTTTATATCATTTATCGAAGCAATTTCTTGATTTAAGTAGCGAAAAATAAAGAAAAAAAAGGGAATTTTATAATTATATATTCATAAGAAACAATAATAGACTTATAAAACAAGTTAGCATATTGAAGAAAAATTATAAAAAAATATATTTTGCTAAACACAAAATTTTAGTTAATTATTAAAAAATTAATTAATAAATAATAATGAAATTTTTCTAGAAAAACAGAACTTTCAACATTTTGTAAAAAAAACAAATTCTATAAGACTTTTCTATAAAAATATTGAAAATATACGTATTTTAAAAAAGAATAAAATATACTTATCTTTATTACAAATAACTGATACAGCAAATTCTTTCTTAGATCCGAAAGGAATAAAGAAATATAGGAAAATAGTACAAAAAATAAAGAAATTCATGTTTACAATACAGTATATACTTTATTTTTTTAGAAAAAGAACATATTTTCTACATAAGTTAAAAATGAATTAACTCATTTATCAATAAAATAATTAATCAAAATCATTGTTATTTACAAATTCAATGATGCCGCAACGAAAATATAGATAAAAGAATAAGTTTGGAATTCATCTCTAGTTACGCCTAAAAGTACGGCTTCGTCTTCTAAATTCTTATAATGTTTATCCTTGAAAATATTGTCGTAAAAATCAAAATATTTAGACGAACGTAGTTCTGCTATGAAATTCTTGAATACCTCGGAATTTTTGTTTTTCTCTTCGAACAAATCAAGAATTTTATTTATCGGTACTAAAGTTAAAATATCAATCAAATAACCGACAAAGCCACCGGTGATTTTATTGTCGAAAGAACCGAAAAGGGCTTTGATTCCACTGACAACAGGTGGAAGGTTCAATGATTTGTTGAATTCATTAACCAAGAAATAAATATCGAGACCGTTCTTTTGCATGTAATTTAACAGTAATTTGAATTCGGGTACCGATTCGATGTCTAGCACCCATTGTTTCAATTCTTTACTTTTCATCAATTGAATAATGTTACGGAATTGCGTGTCTTGGGCATAGTACGTTTTCGTCACTTCCATTATTTGGTCGATCGGTATCAAATCTACAAAGTCTTGCAATTCCTTGGCGAGGGCACCAGAACCAATGGCTGGGACTTTATAAGCGTTCAAAGGACCGATCGCAGCCAGGATAACAAAAATTGCTGAAGCGAATTTCATCTGTAAAAAAATTAGAGGAGCGATGATAATATTTTTAATAAGAAAATAAGAAAATATAACGGAATAAACAGACAAAATTATTAATTTAAAATCTTACAATCTGAAAGATTTCAAATTAATTCAATCATATGTTAATAAAATAAACATATTAACAAAATCCATATATATATGTACATTAATATTTGAATTATATTTTTATTATATATATGCTTTGTGATTAATAATGAATTTGGGTTTGAATTAAATTATAAATCTACGTATAATTTGTATAAGAATTATTTTCTAGCACATAGATGGCTAGAATATGTAAACACATTTAATGTATTAAGAATTAAATGTTACTTACGATGAAATTTATTCTGCAAATAGTCGTCTTTATTATGCTTGTTAATGTTAACTGTGATCGTTTATGAATCGTTTTTCATTGCATTTTATATAATAGCTCTGAATGCGATAAAAGCTTTTCGATAAGATTTTTATGATTATGTGCATTATCTCATAAATTATCAAGAAATATTTTTGTCTAATCAGATATTTCATCTACTTGTTACAGATTCCCGTAACCGTACCCCCTTTACCGGAACACCTTATTATACGAACATTTTATTATCCGTATCTTCTGTTATCCTCACAAAGTTTCGACGCATACAACATATTTAAATTACAATGCAACGTATTTATGTATGTAAAAATACTTTCTTGTGTTAATCATATCAATTCAGTCTAAAACAGAGAACTGTATCACAATGGCAAGTAAACGAAAATATA